TATATATATATATATATATATATATATATATATATATATATATATTATAGTGTTTCTTCCTATACCTACATAAGATAAAGTTGAATTTATAAATTAGGCACAATAAGAGATTAACAACAAAATAAAACAAAATTATACTGTAATAAGTTATGTGGTCTTAAAATATTTTGTACAGTGGATATGTTGGACAAAAGGATGATTCATGTAATGGATTGGATGGAGTGGGACAGCAAGATTTCATCATGCTGCTCAAAACTGCACAATTTAAAATTTATGAATTGTTTATTTCTAAAATTTTCCATTTAATATTGGACTGCAGTTGACCGAAACCGTGGAAAACGAAAGTGCGGATCAGAGGGTGAATACTGTACTTTCATTTGTTAAAGTCAACATTCCTTACTTCTCTGTAACCATTCCTTCATTCCTTTAGTTACCAATGAAACCCAGGAATGAAATCTATTAATTTTAAGTTTTATGCTAAACCAATGTTTGCAGTTATAGCTATGAATATAATAAATAGTCCCGTACTTGATGCACTTCATAAATTGTTGCATTTCTATTACAACTATATAGGGAAAGAATTTGAGTCTACCTTCAGGCCTTGGAATGCTGTTTTGGCTTCTCATACAGTAGCATATATTCACCAAGTACAGAGATCAAAAACATCTCAAATGCATCTTAACTATAATATGCCAGAGCTAACTCCCACTAAATCTTAATAAGTTAGAACTTTTGAATCAGAATGCATTCCACAGAAAATAGAAAATGGTTTTACTATTCCTATTACCTGCCCAGCTCTCCAACTGTTTAAACTCCAAAGATTAGGTTTAAGTAGATCCTTCTATTTGCAAAGCATAAAGATCCTAAAGCTGCTGATTTACACATTCAGCCTACAAATCTGAAAGATGTTATGGGCGTTCCTTATGGCGTAAGAAAATCTCTAACAGCACATTTCCCTATCAGTTTTGTCTTGAATATAAAGTTCACCACTGAAAGAAAATCGTCAAGTTTCCCTACTCTAGCTAACAGAAATAAGTCTGGAACAGTACACTTGCTCCTCAGATAAGATCTCAGAAAAGAACTCAAAGATTAAAAGGGCATGAAGAGGTTCAGGGATTCCCTAGGAAGACTGTCCACAGACGGGATAACAATTACATCTATTCATGAAAAACAGACAACTACTTACGTAATTACGTTAAGTGCAAGCTCAGCAGAGTGACATCTCTCCAACTTCTGTTTCAGAACAGCAACTTCTTCAGATCTGGGTGGTTCGTATTTTTTTACTAAGTTCCTCATGCCTATGTGGAGATTAAAAAAAAAAGATTTATACTAGATAATAAAAAGGCTTGTTCTCATTAGGGAGTTGTATAATATTTTCCCATCTTGTTATGGGAACCACATAACAAAATACTCTTGAAATGATGTGATTATCCTTATCAAGATTTATATTCTGCATTAAAATCCAATAACACCATATTTCTAGCTCAAGTAATTATAGCTGTCTGCTGTTTAGCCCATATCATGTATAGCATAAAGATAAACATGCTCTATAATCTAGTCAGTATTTTTATCAAATCCTATTGTGGTCAATTTTTGCTTAGTTTTAAGGGTTTTTAATAATTACTACCTGATTTAGTGAATATGCTTTGTTCCCTGCCACCAACCATATTCATAACGTTCTATTCTACAGATGGTGGGTCAAGTGTACTTCCTGATTACAAAGGAAACCATTATTACATAATACGTAACAATAAAGGGAGGATGCTTAGTAAAAATGTGTCAATCAGTGATCCTTGGCTTTAACAAAACTCAGAACCTATACAATGAAGCATCATCAAAAACAAAAATTCCTCTTGATGTTAAATGCAAACTCAGTAACTTAATAATTGCAGAAACACCCTCTACCTGGACTGTTTTATGTTATTCAACTATAGTAAA